GTTGCAGCCATCATTGTTGTTTGGCGGGTCCAGGCTGGATTTGAACCCGCCACCTTAGGTGTATGTGGCTGGCGCCTTAGCCACTTGAGCCACAGGTGCTGAGCCGGAAAGCTGATTTTTTAATTTTAATTTAATTGCCACTGGTAATAACATAGTTGATCTTATATAAAATCCCAAACGCTTTAATTTTCCAAGGTCTAAGTGATCATCTTCCCCTGACTAAACAAAATATGAATAAAATTTTTCATTTAAATAACTCAGGAGTATTTATTAAGGTACTTCTATTAATGTTAGAGAAAACTTAATTCTACTATAGCACATCATTTTCTGTTTGCCTATAATAAAATTATTCCAACACTGCTTTTAGATGGTGGGTTACTCATACTGTGACCAGTTAGTTATTCATGTTGGGGAGTTTAATTCACTTAAACTCTTAATTCACTTACAAAGATCTATTTAATAGAATATTGACTGTTGACCTTTTGAATCATTTTTAACCAATAGGAGACTTCCATTTCAGTTATAAAACTACTCAAAAAGGTATTTTAGAATTTATTAGTTAATAATTGATTTTATTAACATGTAAATCTAAACTACTATGTAATGCCTACCAGCACAACTCAATGAACATGAATGCAATGAATTCAATTTTATAATTACAATCAAAAAGTAGAGACTAGTCACCTGTGGAATCATCAGGTGTCCATGGATGACTCCAAGTTGGCTTTTCTGAGGTTGGTCCTGAGGTAGTGATCATTCTAACACTGGGACTGGATGACCTACTGCTTACCTGTAGGAAAAGGTGACAGGAGGAACAGAATGTAATTTTTGAATAAAAAAACTGGTAAGATGTGTGCCTGTAGTTCCAGCTACTTGGGAGGCTGAGGTAGGGGATTGCTTGTGCCTGGGAGTCTGAGGCTGCAGAGAGCTCTCATCATGCTTCTGCACTCTAGCCCAGGCAACAAACACCAAGAGACCCTGTCTCAAAACCAAAACAAAACAAAAAACCCCATGAGAACATTTTCATTAAAAGGTAAAGGTCAGACTTCAATTTATATTGGTAGAGATGTTTAAAAAACAAAATAAACACCCTAAGAATATTATACATATGTAAAAATTTACATGTACTCACATGTGATGCCTCTTAAAAACAGATGAGCTAGTAAAAAAGAGACAAACTCTGAGAGCAGAAACAAAGCAAGATCAGGAGACTGAAAAGTGCTTAAGCTGCTGTCCCTGGAGATTTTTTTTTTT